TATGCTTCTGGAAATTTAAATTCTGGAAATAAATCCTTGTTTTCATACCTATATGATCTGTATATCTGTATGATTTGCATCTGGCTATTTATCTATCAGATAAGCAATTCCGTAATTTAATTTGAGTAAAAATTGAATTGAATAATATTGAAGATATGTTGAGTAATGACAGATATATTGGTAATGACGCACATGTAGCCAGCTTGTTCGCGAATTAGAACCTTGGATTGAACTTCCAGTGATCAGCGATTTTAACCCTCTGCCGCTGGTGGAATGGATTTAAAAATGGTATAAATAGGAATATGTATTGCAATTTCTTTCACTGCAAATATTAATATTGCAGAATACAGTTATGTATTGTGCAATATTAATAGTATATGCAGTGAATACAATATATGTTACTGTGAAAGACCGAGATCTGGAGAATGTCGACATTCACCAGTGAATGTCAAAATTCACATAGTCGCTTGGTGCATGTCCAAAATATTTGCCAAATATCCTTATTTCTGACTTAACCGGCAGATGTCGACATACACCATGCACTAATGGTGAATGTTAAATACGTCGGAGATTTGCATTTTGTTCTCCGTGTTTTAGGCGCCATAAATCTTCAAGGTGACGTAACATTTTCGCCTGTCTTGCTGAGAGGAGTAACCAATCCCTGGTGAGAAGGAGTTGTTCGTAACACTATATAGGCGTTTTCACTGCGTGACATGTATTTTCGTTGTTTGCAGTAAAAGATTCTCTTCCGCGGCCGATCTTTTTATAGAAATTAACTCGTGTTGTTCAGTCCAGGCTTGATACGAAGACGTGGTAGATTGCAAGGTCCTCCTTAATTTTTCTTCGGAATATGGTTTTTGGTATGACCGCCAATGCTCAAATTTTTTTCAGAAAGTATTACTAACAGTTTCTTCAAGCTGTTCTTCGGTTTCGAAAAGTATTAGGCAATTTCTTAAGAGTTATTCTTCGGTTTCATATTTGCGATTCGTTCATGCTAGGCAAAAAGACGATGCTATGCCTCTTCTTGGTTTAATGCCAAACATAGCTTCATAAGGAGTAATCAATCCCAGTGAGAAGAGATGTGTTTGAAAAATAAAAACAATTGGCTTCTCGTTTACTCGTAATTAATGCATTTAACTTTTCAAGGAAAAGTTCACGATTCACTGCAATATCTATTCAACATAAATTAGGGTATTGGAAAAAAAATTAAGAAAACGTTGCGTGTACCATCAAACTTAGCATAAGACTGACAAACAGTGTTCCAGACTCTAACAAATACAAACTAGACCAGACTATAATAAATAACTTCAATCTCAGCAGAAAGGATTTGGCGACAGACAGTCGCCTCTCTGTTGAACTCCACTTCTCTTTTCGACCTCCACCACAGTATATCTGTGATTGTCAACATACACCGGTGATGGTCCGAATGTACAAGGTATATAACCAAATATTCGGTCTTTGACCGACGTATTTGGTATGTGTTGACATTCACCGCGGTGAATGTCGGCATTCTCCAATTTCGGTCTTTCAGAGTAACATATATATGATAAAAACAAACTCAATAGTAATGACTAGCACAGAACTTAAATTGTGCCGGAGCCAAGACTCCAAACCAAACGAAATTTAGAGGCCTATGACTGACTACTTCCGAAATTGATTTAAAAAATCTACGCCAAAATAAGGTTGGTTTTCTGTTTAATTTTAAAATTTAGAATATATATAAAGTGAAAAATAGAGTTAATTCATAAATCTTCTCGTTGGGTACCATGAAACAGCTTCTTTTTTTTTTTCAGATAAATAAGGAGAATTTTACTAAAAGAATTGTGCATGTTTTTAATTCTATATATACGTACTGTCAACAAAACCTATTGTCGGCTAAACTACTTTGTCGGTTAAATGTCCGTGTCGATTAAATGTCATGTTGGCTGAATGTCCCTGTCGGTTGAATTTTCTCGGGACTTAACGCCGGAAAACCGGTTAAGCTACTGGCTAGGATCTGTACCCAGGCAGTCTCAGCCACGGGGATATATAATCAGTCTTCACAGGATTAGAGCCGGATGGGATTCTTTTTTCGCTACGAACTGTCCTAGTCCCATAGACGAACAGTTAAGTTTTTTGATTAGGCTTTACTGCGCATTACCGAGCTTTTGCAGGTATCCTTGGGTACAACAAAACGTCCTTTTGTAGGACACATGGCGAATCCACGGATGATGATATGGAATCGGACCGGTTTATGATATCAAGTAATCCATGCAATTCCCACTTCGGAGAGAGGATTTTGTGAAATCGCCTTGGAGAAAAAGCAAGAAAAAGAAAGTGAAGCCATCGTCATGGGACGTGCTTTAGTAGCTTGTGCTTGGGGCTTAGAAGAACCTTGAGGGGGCTGTCTGAGCAGCTGCCCTATTTTTAAGCGTGGTTTTCTTTCCACGAGATCGCTTATTAGCTGGGTGTCGAGGACAAGATTTATATGAAGCTGGATGACTTCCACCACAGTTGCAGCAAGTTGCAGGTACATCAAGCCCCTTGGTGCACTCACGTGCCCAGTGGGGTCCAGAGCATCTCACACAACGGATTGGCAAAGTGCAGAGTTCCGAAGAATGGAAAAATCCCTGGCACCTAAAGCATTGAGTAGGGCCCTTTCGGCCGCGATAACGCTCAATGCTGACCTCTGTGCCCCACATGTCAGTGACGGCAAACAGTTGGTCGAGGAAAGGATGTGGGATGACTTGTACATAAACAAGTGGCATAGGATGTCTGGAGCCTGGCTGGTAAAGCCGAACGCAGCGATGCACTTTAAATCCCAGTGACTCGATTTCCTCTTTGACGTCCTCGACATCAGTTTCCACAGGGAGGCCTCTGACTACAATTTTGACTGGCCGGTCCTGTTTAAGATCAAAAGTTTTGAATTGGATGCCGGCTTGCTTCATCCAACGTGTGACCTCCCTGAACTCCAGTTCAGTCTGTACAAAAATTTTTAAATATGGTCCAGTGAGAGTACTCTTAAGGTTTGGGGCAATTTCTCTTAAGAAAGACACCTGGGTCTTCCAGTTCTTGCTACTCCTCATATGAATAGCCGGGATTTGATTTTGAGGCTGTGGTGGAGGGGGGGGAACGCTCCGTGCCTGCTCGGAACTGGTTTCTCCCTCGGGGGTTTGCTCCTTGACGGGGTCACCGCCGTTGATGAGCCATTCTTTAATAGATTCATACTTGTTTTTACTGTTTTTTCTAGCAATATTAGTACTAGCTAAGTGAGAATTTGAAATAGAAGTATTTGAATTTTGAATAGTAGTTTGGTTACTGTTATTATCCACAGTTAAATCAATTATGGGAGGTTTTCCCATTTTTCTAGTGGCGGGAGTAATAAACCCCTCAGAGTCCACTGTTTGCGTCTTGCGCTTACGGGCAGAAACAGGTTTTCCTCGGATCTCGTGGGTCGTTTTCGCCTCCGTTTGGGGAGGGAGAGGATTTTCAACGGCTGTAGCGGCCATTTTGTCTAACCGCTTTGTAGCTGGCAGTATCCACAGGAGTCGGTGTTCGTCTCATGAAGTTTTTCTGCTTCTGAATTGATTCGAACTGATGTTTGAGTTCGTAAAACTGGTTGACAAGTCTTCCCCGTTCATCATCCGGTGCAGGGGTGATTTGCTCTGGTTGCGAATTGCTCACTGTAGTACACAATTGCACAGGCGAAGTATCCAATTTGGTATTTTGCACATTTTGCTGTGAAGAATCACAAAATTCCATAGTTGAAGGCTGTGTCGGCGGGAGCTCGCAAAGCGAGCGACCGTCCTCGTCCGCGTCCATACTCGGAATCCTGTATCCGACGAATGAACAGTTACGATTATGTCTAATGACAGATACGATTATGCACAGGACTTTTTCGCGCCAGCTCGACGACTTAACCACTAGTAGCAGGTTACCATCCTTTATATTACATTTTACTGTCTCTTCAGCTTCCAGAACCAAAATTTATGTAACTGATTTTGGTATATATTTTGTGTTTTTGTTGTTCTCACATTTTGTTCTAGAGAATAACTGATTACTTCATCTCATCTTTCGAAGCCACCAAATGTTCTACATGGGGTAAGGCCTTCGGCCTAGGCACCCTGGTGTAGCAAACACTATTCCACAGAGGACCGGATTAGAGCCTCCATTCATTCGGAGGCTGGCTTGGCAGGGACCATATGGGGTTTGGTACCATTCGGTCCTCTGCTGGGAGATTGAGAAAGTTGATAGAACACTCTTACGAATATGTATGTTGCAACCGGAGTGGTGACCGGGAGCACAGATATTGACGTTTTTATTATAGTCTGAGCCTTCTTTTTCTTCCCAGCTTTGTATAAAGCTGGAAGGGACCGCAGGTGGTGCGCCGGCTTGGATGGTCTCCCTGAGATCACACGCAATTCCTGGAAGGGCGGGAGTTTGTCCCTGTGTTCTGTTCTGTCGGCTAAACGTCCTTGTCGGCTAAGTGTTCTATCTGTGTCGACTAAATATCCTGTGAGCTAACTGTCAGTGTCAGCTAATTGTCCTCTAGGCTAACCGCTGCGGCTGAATGGTTTTCGGCTGTGTCACAGAAACGTATACACCTAAATTTACTCCAGTTTTCAGCCTAAGAAAAAATAGGGTTATAAAAGTATCTTCGCGCCGCTTGATATCTAAGAGTCTGAGTTCAATCCTTGTGCTTCTACATGGAAATGAAGCCTTAGCAATGCTGTATTTCCTTTAAATTGGCACTTTTGCAGGAAAGATTTTAATACGGAATTGAAGCGGAGAGTCGGCTTTGATCGGAGTTAGTCACATTATATGCAAATTATAGCCTCCTGAAAAAAGAAAAATGGGGGAAGTTGAAAAACAAAAACTTGTATTGTTATTATTTATATAGAAAATGTTTCCACGATAATTACTATTTTCATCAAATTTCCTTATTTTGACATTTCTTTTATTACATATTTGTCCGTGATCCGTGCTGAAAGTTGTTATTCTGTAGGCGGTAAATATTTCTACTTTCAATTTAGAATATCTGAGTTACTAATATTCAGTTTGTTTTTTAAAAAGCTTACTCAAAGACTTTTTAAATTATGTATATCTGAGTTTATAATCTCTTTGTTTCTTTTTGCTTCTTTCTAGAAGGGCAAAAAGTTATTCTGATATGAAAGAGATATAGGAAGATAAGGTTTCGGCGTAGAAAAAGTCAGTGTTTCTTCTTTAATTACGTATAATTTCAATATGATTTTTATAAATACTATACAGCATATTAAATTGTCAAAAATTACTAATTATATTACTAGTTTATCACGCTTATCTACCATAACACAACGAAAGGTAGCTAACAACGATTCTCGTGTACGTCTTGCAGCTGCATATAGGGGTTTAGATCAGTATGGTTTAAATGAAGGCATCTGTAATCATTTATCCGCTATAACTCCTTCTGTAAGTGGTGATGGAGATGTCATGCTTATTATTCCATTTGGATTGCACTGGAAAGAGGTAAATATATGGTGTTTTTCTTTATTTTATATGTGTGTGCTGTGTTGCAAAAGGGCTTAAATGATAAGTCGAAGTAGTGTTAGAAACAATGACATTTAATAACGAGGCCAGTCGAAAGTATTTTGCATATAAATTCATGTCCTCTTTATAGCTGCATGTTGTTAATCACTATTTTAATTTAAATAATTTTTTTATATTCACAAATTGTAATATCAGTTGTACCTTAATAGTGATTATGAAAAATTATGAATTTGAACAAGAATTTTTGGAACTTAATTTTTAAATGTGATTTCAATACACTTTCAACACTAAGTATTCATTTTTTAGACATAATTTAAGATAAATTAGGAATGTTTGTTTGTGTAGTCAAATATTAATTATGTAGAATCAGATAATTAATTTATTTCCCAAATCATTATTTTAAAAAGTTTCTTGGAATTTGCATGTAAGAAGAAAATAGGATTTAATATTAAAATTTCTGAATTAAAGCAAAATTTGAAATGTACATCCAATGGAAAACCTTTTTAAGAAGACATTTTTTGAAAACTATCTATTTCGCAAGTTGTCACTTCAGAGCATTTTGGATATGGTTTTATTTTGAATTTCATAAATCTTAATGATTAGCTGTATGTAAAGATTTCTGCTGAACAAAATGTAAAAGCATGATATTCAGAGATACGATTAAAAGTTGAAGATGCTGTTGATATTCTGTCATGAAACAAACCTAGAGATTTCATTGGATGAATATTTCAATGAGGTATGAGAGTTTTTGTATTGAACAAAATTTTTAATGCGAGTTTTCGAGCATTTTCTGATTACTACGGTCTCCATTTTTCAAATGCCAAGCTGGCACCAGGATTATCATTAGGTTCATGTTTATTTCCCAAAAAGGTACATTACATTTTAGTGCAACCAGCTTAGTAGAAGTTGCCAAATTTTCTCTTTTTGTTGTATTCCAAGTTCCATTGGTTTTTACGAGACATAATGTATTCTTTTTATACTTAGACTCAATTTTAAAATATGTATTTGTGGAATTTGTCAGCTATGGAAGAAACTGTATGTAAACTGAAGAATTGAATGCTGCCATGTATCATAATTCTTTTGAAGCCCTATTGAGTTGTTGGATTAGATGTAGACAGTAAACTGTCGCTTGTAAAGTCTTCTTCCACCACTTAATCAATGTCAGTTTTTCTGACCTATAATAAATACAGTGTTGCACTGCTACAAACAGTATTCTTTAACCACCAAACCACTTGCCAAAATGTATGCTTTTCCTTCACTTATAACTTTTTGTGGGGAAAAAAAGAAGAGAGAGAGTGGAATACTTGCAGCTTTCACCAAGAGAATTATTAGTCATTGTGAATTGTTAATATTTATTTGCAAAAAGAAAATACAATAACACATGGTTTACTCAGCTCTTCTAATTACAAGCAAACTGTAAGTTCAAGTATGGATAGAAGCAAGGCCAGCACTTGTGCATTTCTGTAGATATGTATAAGGGATTAGTGGACCTCATTAACTGTTAAGCTTCTCTCAAAGTTTCTTTCCTACCACCAGTGTCTTTTGTATATAGTGTATATATCTCTCCTTATGCATTTATGTATTTTCTCTTTTAATGTATTAATACTTATTTATGTGAATGTTATCTAATCATGTAATGCATATATGTTGAGTGGTCACATGGACTCCATTTCAGAGTAGAACTAGGCAATTTCTTTTCACTTATGCCATTGCCATGCACACTTATCTTCGCCTAAACCCAATCAGCTGCTGGAGTTGTTTCTTCTGGACTCATTCATCGATTTTCTACGTTATGAACTCTATGTGTATTCGAATTTCTTTTTTCTCTAAATGTTCGACGTTCAAAGATTCGAAAATTGTAAATCTCCTATGCCGGGATAGCATCGTAACGCGGGGACCCTTTTTGCGATGAACTCATTGAGTTTGCCTGAGCCGAAGAGGATTTTAGCTGGCCTTGTATTTTGAGTGCTCCCTTGCCACTCGGACATTATGCATTTATAAACCTACATGCCTTCTCTAGGCTTCGAACCTGTGCATATCAGTTCAACAGTCTGGGCCGTCTTAATGCATGGGTCTGATGAGTATTTGCCCATGGTCACCACTCTAATCCATTTACATTTAATTTTTGTGAGTGGTTATTGTAGGGGCTGCAGCACATTAGTTTTTCCAAAAGGCCCATAATGCTGTTAAGTCAGCACTGACCATTATATCGGTTGAGTGGTATAATCATTACTGCCATCATAAGCTTTATTAACTACTTTACTGGTCAGTATCACTAACCATTTTACCAGGTGGGCAGTGCAAGGAAATTATAAATGGTCTTAATTAAGGCTGTTGGCCGTTTGATGAAAGTTTGGCTTAACTATTTATCGATAATCTTGGCACAGTTTAGAAAAAATGGGTGCCATATTAATAACAAAGTACTGATGTTCGTGAATTGCATCTCGTACTTTCCATATACAATTTGTTTTTAATATTTTAAAATATGATTTATCTACAGTATTTGAAAAAATTCAATGTGATATTCGCTCTCACATTATTCTATACTTATCTCTGCATTCAATTCATAGTTTTATTACTACAACAATGTTAATAACTTATACCTGCATTTCTATTTCGCATTTTTCTTGATTCATTCTCAAGTTTCGTGGAATTCGAGGTCTCAGATGAATTCAGAGAATTCAGGTGTCTTGCATTAAATCATAGCTGTGGGATTTGCTAGAAGGTAAGATGCATTAATTTCAAAATTACATTCTTACAGATTCCCTCCGTTTTGGAGTCAGGAAGGTGACTTTTAGTTACTTAGAATGTTTGTTTATGATGTGAGAAATGTTGAATTGTTTCTCTTAGTGATGAATTAAAAATCAATATGATACCCAATAAAATCTTAATTATTTTCTCTGATTTAAAACTTACTATTCTGTTGTTGATTATTCTAGGTTACTCCATCACTTTTAATTGGAGTCAATGAGAAAAATGAAGTTGTTGAAGGGAATGGGGAACCAGAAACCACTGCACTTTGTATTCACAGAGGAATTTACAGTCAGTGTCCCAATGTAAAATCCGTTATGCATACACATATGCCTTATGCTACTGCTTTAAGTATGTTACATTCGTTGATATGAATTTTTTTTTTTTTTTTCAGTACTTCTGATGAAATGCATTATTAAAAGAAGGATTTAGCAATATACTTAAAAGAATTAGTGAATACAATCCAGAGACATCCAATTATACTGAGTGGTACTTACGTATTATCCCATTGACTGTGAAACTATCACCAAGCAACATGATTTAGGGCCAGTTATGAATAATCACAATGTAACAGCATATTCATAAGATCTGTATTTTCGTTTGATGTAACCCTAACTGATTCTAGATAGATCTCGTTTTGTTTTTATGAAACAAGATACGTAAATTAACTGTTATTGCTGTATTTTTTCATACATTTTAGAGAAAAAAAAGATTAAAATTTGGAATTTGCTTGTAGCAAGCCATGGATTATTTTCAAAGTTGTGGCATCCTACCATTGAAAAATGTGTTTATAGACATGACATGGCCAGCTGAATATGGCCAACAAAACAATAAATACATTGAGACAATTATTTGTGGAACGTTTGTTCTCATAGTGTAGCTTCTGGTAAAGTGTAGCTTCTGGTAAAATCTGAAAGTCGTACAAAATAGTAGAAATTGATTGTGAAAAGTGTTTTATGGAGTGGATAGAAAACTGATTGTTTATTAAATAAGAACATCGGTTTTTCCAGAATTCTGCAGGGACGTTTGGTGCAACTTGTTCAATGAGGATAATATGTAAATACATAATGAGCCTGAGATCTGTAACTGTTACCAAGTGGATGGCAACCATTTATAAATAAATGGGAAGGTCATGCCAAACTTTTCTGTTGTGACTGTTGAATTTTCTGCTAGCCTTATACAAGAATTAGCCAATCACAGCAGAGCAAACATGAAATGACCTTCAGTCCAGCATTTCATGGAGTTAACTGCATATTGCCCTTTTCTAATTTGTTATGAATAATGAGGCTTTAGGAATAGCAGAGACAACAGTAAGAATCAGAAGGATTCAAGTTACAGAGAAGCGGAAATGAAGATATCTTAGATTAATTATTATTAGTGTTAATAAATTAATTTATAGGATGTTAAAGCCTTTTTCTGAGCGGTGACTTTTATTTTATGTATTTCCTATACCACAAGTATAAATAACTGGATTTCAGGTTATACATTTTTGCCAGCTTTTTTCAAAGATGAATACAGATGGAATAGAATATTATTTAGGTGGCTTTCTATGAAATTGCATTTGAGTATGTGTTTTTACTGGAATGCAGATATTTCTTTCAAAGAAGTAATATTGTGACAGTTACCTGCAGTTTATCAATGACATCTTTTCATTTGTCATCTTCTTACTATAATTCTGTTCTTCAGAAATTAAATGATTTGCATAATTTTCCTCTGTCAATTTTCATATGATAAAATTAATATAAAAAAACTAAGGGAGGCAGAATATGTGATAAAATAGAATATTTGGTTAGAATAGACTGAACGCTTTGTATTATTGTGAAGTTGTTTCATTTATCGCAAAGTTGTTGTTTCGTTTATTGCCAATTTTTTGTTTCATTTGTGGTAACCTGAGTAGTTGAATGTCCCGTAATTATACTTTTACCTAGAACTGGGTGTTTCTTTGACTTTTTAAGTGAAAATATTTCGATGTGTACATGGTCAAAGTCAAGGTAGTGCATAGTGCCAAGTTTGTGCAATTCTCTGATGTTTTTTAAAGTGAAAATAGGTCGACGTGTGCATGGATTAAGTCAAGGAAGTGCGTGCGCAATGCCTAGTTTGTGTAATTCTGTGGTGTTTTTTTAAGGGAAAATAGGTCAGTGTGTACATGGATACTCAGTTTGTGCAATTCCTTGTTATTTTGTCTTTGTGTAGCAGCGATTTTTGGCGCTAAAATCGCCGCTACACGAAGCCAAAATAACAAGTAAAAGAATTGCACAAATTCGATATCCATGTACCACCAAAAATCTCCAATTTTCGCCAAGGGGTACCTGTAAATATACTTGTACCGAATATTTTGTATGTCTTTAGTATATACTTCAGTTATTGTTCAGTTGGACCAAAAAAAAAAAAAAAAAAAAAAAAAAAATATTATGAACAAGATTATTGTTAAAATTTGTATCTGCCTTTAAGTTTCTCTTGCCTTTTCTCAGATCTTTTTATTTTGTTTAGCATGTCTTCATAATCCAGAGTTACTGATGATACATCAAAATTCAGCTCGGTTCCATAACAGAATTGCATATGACACTTCATATGGTGGCTTAGGAGACAGTTTTCAAGAAGGCAAACGTCTAGCACAGGTGATAGGCAATAAAGATGTGCTTTTTATGGGCAACCATGGAGTTATGACAGTTGCACAATCAATTGCCATTGCATTTGATAATATGTATTATCTGGAAAGAGCAGCTATGATACAGGTATTGTAATTCATAACTTGTATTATATTGAAATTTTTTCTATTTGTTTCTAATTAACTACAGAACTTTGAATTAGGTGATACTTAACCACCTTAGTAGAAGTAACCTCATTTTCACAATGTGCCAGATTCTGGCAACCATACACATAACGATTCTTTAGACAATCATGCTCATAACATTTCTTTAGTGAGAAATGTTGCCATTTTTGTGTGTGTTCTCTTTGTTGTATTCTAAATTTCAAAGGTTTTTATAGACTATTTGTGATATTTTTTGCATTAAACTCAGTTTTAAAATATGCACTTGTGGAATTTGCCACTGTGGTAAAATATATACAGAAATGCCATGTTTTTCTGCAGGAATACTGTATTTGAGTGTAAATGGAAAATGAAGAGGATGTTATTATTTGGATGTAAAATTTCCTTCCATAAAATATCAGCTAACTCTTATTAGAAGCATCTTCTTTCATCTTTTCTTTGTCTCTTAGTGCCACTCTGCTTGATACTTACTGGGCTTGAGCTTCACTCAAAATTTATCCTATATGATTATTGTTGTGTACAATTTGAACTGTTTTTAATGTGAGACAAGGCATTATCATTGAAAATGCTCATATTGTAACTTGCTACTGCTTAATCAAATAGATAGTGTTATGTGAAAACTTTTTTACCCAAATTTCGAAGATCAAAAACCAAGACCATTTTTCTTTCCTCTTCTTCTAAAGCCATTTCTTCCACAGTTACCTTTTGTTGCTGCTTTTGAAATTGTAATTCTTTGTTGGGTTTATTTTTATGATGTTATTGTAACATCTCCATGTTTTCATTGTTAACTTCCTAGGCCATGATTTTTCTTAGACACACATTACCATAAATAGCAAATAACTCCTAAGTATAAAAGTGCTCAAAGCTCAAACAAATTTTTATGTGTTGTGTTGTAGGTAGTTAGGCTTAGATTTTCCATGCTGTTCGCTCCCCCTCCCCAAAAAAAGGCCACATGTTGGCAATTCAGGAATGTTCCCATACCCATTAGAACTGAAGAGACGAATCAACACACCTAATATAACGTCACAAATTCAGTATCATGCACATACGATTGTGCTGTGAGCGTGAAAGGGGAGTGCACCAAACAATAGGAGATTTTTCCCTTCTTGAATAAAACTTGGCTCTTAGAAATGAGTTCCTGGGAGCTGCATGGACAGACAGTGTCTAAATGATATCTCTTTGATGTTTTTGATTATAAATAGTTTTTCATATGTATTTTAGTCTAGAAATAAAGGATTTCATGCTTTTAACTTAGCAGCTCTGATTTTCATGATAGTTTGTTATGATGGTCTTTCTGTGAATGGGCTGTGATCAGAATGAAAAGTCCATGTCCTCATTGCTCAGATGGACTAGTTGACTTGCATATGCAAATGCACTTCAAAGATTTATTTGAGATATTTTATTTTTATTTATTAATTAATTTTTTAAAATTATAAATGGAACTCAAATTAATCAAAGTTTTCTCCTCTTTCTTATTGTAATGGAAGTTTATTGCAGTGAATGTAGAATAAGAAATTTTAATGATCTGTATTTTATAGAAATAAATATAACTATTAATGCTGTGAGATCTGTGTAGAATGAAATGTTAAAATATTTTTTCAAAACACACTGGCTTTATGCACCATATTTTATTTTAGAGCAGAGCTTGATATGTACATCAATTTTCCCATGTTTTTTACATTTATACGTCATTTTGCATGTTTGCTGTCACTTCAATGCTTTATTCTTGCAATTTTAAGGTGCTAGCTCATAACACACAGAAAACTTTGAGAGAAATGAAACCAGAAATTGTGGACTTGACATCAAGACAGATATGGACTTGTTTAGATAAATATGCTGAAAGTCATCTTAATGTAATGATAAGGAGGCTGAGAACTATTTCTCCTGAATTTTCTGTTTAACTACTTGTAAGTATAGCATATGTTTTTAAGACTGTCAAATTGAAAATTCAGTAAATCAGAGAATTCTGTAACAAATTTAGGTATTTGCATATTCCATTGACTGTCGCCAAGCTGTGCGATTAGCACCAATTATGGATAAAGTATAACGTTATGACATATACACTTTTGTTTAATGTAACCTTGATTTATTCTCAGTAAGCCGTCTTTCATTCTTATGAAGAAGGTATAAATTAAGTGTTATTGATGTATTTTTTTCTTGTATTTTGGTAGGAAAAATTAGTTTGAGAGTTGCAGAATCCCGTTTGTGACTGCACTCCTGTTCATTTATTGCTGTTCGAGAGAATTTACATATGTGAAATAATAATAAAATATAAAAATAAAATAATAAAATAAAATAAATAAAAAAATAAAAAAAAGCTGAATATGACTGGCAAAAACACTAATAGATTGAAAAATCATTTGTGGGAAGTCTGTACTCATAGCATTCTTAACAGAGCTTCTAATAAAATTAGAAAGCCTAGGAAAATTGTAGAAACCAGTGAAAGCTATATTACAAAGTAGGTTGAATACTTCCACAGCAGTGGCTATATTTTAGTGAACGCTGCGCAGAGACTGACAAATGTTTTATTGTAAAAGCTGCAGACTGAAATCTGGCTCAGAACTCTGCACAAATGATTCATGCAACTTTGGCAGAATCTCTTCCAACTTTCATGATTCGATTTTAGTCAACTTTCATTGTTGATAGGATAATATGTAAATACCCAAATGGCTAAAATCCGTTTTAAAATTATACAAAATTCAATGTTACTACAGGTTTTGTTAAAATGCTGTGTACATTTTTAGAAAGTATGACTTGTATATCATTTTCCTCAAGAAGCAAAAAAAAGTTTATTTAATTAAAAAAAAGCTATTAAATGCCAAACGACCAAAATTGTTCTCATGAAAAATATATAATATTGATGTATGAATTTATAATTCCTTCCTTTATGATTGTGAATTTTCCTAGGTTTTTTTATTTCTGTAGGTGTAAAAATTCTCAGATTTTTCCATGGTTAGGAAAAGTTTACAAATGTAATTTAAAATTAGTTCCATACTGTTGCATTTAGTATTGAAATAATATGTTTTTCTTATTGTATTAAAATTTTTATTGTTGAAAAATTTAGTGATTATACACTATTATAGGGATATTAAGATCATTCTTGTTTGTGTAATCTTATATTTATTCCATGGGCTATAAAACATTATATTATAAATATTCCAAAATCTGACATTAGAGTGATTTTTCTGTTAGAGAATTTTGGGTATTTTTCCGTTTTGCCGGCGCAGGCGATAAAGTCGCCAATAATGGTACAAATGATGCCAACCGAATAGCCTCTCTGGTAACCTTTTACTCCTCATTTTAAAAACAAGTCGCAGCCATTTCTTATCAGATTGATTGTTTCTTTCAATACTGGCATACAATTACACAGAATTTTTACCAGGTAGTTCAATTTTATGCCCTAAGGCCATTCGCTGGTGGTAATTAAGTCAATTAGAATGCAATCACACTGCTCACCCAATGACAGAAATATAGAAAAGGCAAAGTCAAGGGTTAAATTCATCAATTCTAATGAGAATGCACTAGCGGAGTAAGGCACTGCAGTTTTACATAATTTCTGAGTAAGCTATTTGTATGAATTAAAATAATACTTGCATTTAAACTTGTATTCCAAATTAAGATTTAACTTGACATCAAAATAGATCCTATGCAGTTGTTTAGATAAATATACTGAAAGTCATCTTAATGTAATGAATGATAAGGAGGCTGAGAACTATTTCTCCTGAATAGAGAGATTCAGGAGAAAAATGGAGTTCAGGAGTTCTTTTGAGATGAAATTAATGTAGATAATTACTGAGAGAATTAGATTTTTATAGCATAGTTTATGTGAGATGAGATCACTTGGAGTAACGTGATTTAAACCGGTGAATCAGGATGTTGTACCATGAAAGCATAGCAAATTCTTAAATTAATGTCTTTTTACAAATTTATTGTCTTTATTTATTGGCTTTTTTACAAAATTTTAAACGACATTAAAATGTTTATACCTTCAAAATAAAAAATGCTTTGAACTAACATTTGTCAAAATTTTTTATGTGTATACTGTGTGTTGTCGCCAATAAAGTCTGCTTGGCGAGATTTGCGCCGCCGAAACAGAAAGGTACTGGATTTTGATTAGGATATTGTAATGTAAAATAAAAATAATTTTCTCTTTAATTTTTTTTAAAATTTGAACAATTTTGTCTTTTAAAATAATTTTCGAGAATATATCTTGTTTTGCATCTTTGTATGTTTTTTGTGTTTTTGAAGAGTAAAAAAGCATGAACTACATTTGAATTCTTGAAAGTAATGAACAAAAGATATAAACTATTGTTGAAACTTTCAAGTAAAAAAGGTTATTTATTAATGTAAACACTGTTTTTCAAGTTTTATTAAGTATCTGTTTGACATAATGAAATAATGGGTTCTTCTGAGATATCTGAACTGATTAGATATACAGTACAAAGTCCGTAATCTGGACGTTCATTATCCGGAATGATCTATAATCTGGACTTCAAAGCCACAAACTTTACGCATGTGCGCATTGAAAGAAATGTTTAATAAAGTAAACAAATAAATATTAAGCTTTTTTTTTTTTTTTTTTTTTTGTAAAATTTGATACTTTTTAGATCATAATTGCTCTTTATTTCATAAATTATGGTTTCATATTTTTAATTGTATAATTTCTGCTTGCCATCTTACCAGATTTAAATTGATGATCTATAATCCGGAATCGTGATGACGATTTCTGGCTTAATTAAGTCTTGATGAGTCTGGATTACAGACTTTGTACTGTATTAAAAAAAATGCAAATAAAAAATGTAACAATTTTAAACAGCTTACTATAAAATATTGCTAATATTATTTGCTAGTTAGTCCAATATTTTGATGCTAATTTAGATTACTGTAACTATGTATGTCAGATACATGGTACGGTACAAAGTCTTTAATCCGGACTCGTCGGGACTTCGGCGATTCTGGATTAGGGTTTTTTCCGGATTATAGATCATCAATTTAAATTTGGTAAGATGGCATACAGGAATTATAAAATTAAAAATATGAAACCGTAATTTATGAAATAAAGCGCAATTATGGTTTAAAGGGTATCAAAATTTACACACACACACACACACAAAAAAAAAAAAAAAAAAAAAAAAAAAAAACTTAATATTTATTGTTTTTACTTTATTAAACATTTCTTTCAATGTAAATTGTTCAAGTTGCTTCCGCAAAAAATGTGCAAAAAGTTACTTTCTTCTTTAATTTCTATAAACAGACATCATTTCTTGTTGACTTTCCAAATGTTCATAGTCCTCGTAAAATTGCTTGTGTCGAGAATACCGACTAACTTGTCAATCGAAATTTTTTCGTTTTCAATAACCTCTCTGTCACTTTCTTCACTATTGGAAGCGGTACATCGAAACATGCTTTCGCTTTGTAGATCCTTGGCAGCTCCAGGAATCGGAAACTCTTTTTGACATAATCGAAAAGTTCAACCTTAGTTTTTAAAAAATTGCCGTAATAATAACAGTCTGCAAAAAAATAATAAGCTGGATCCAATTAGAAAGATTAAGGAACAACGCTAGTCTGCACTACATTAACTGAAATAGCCTTATAATCAGTAAAGATAATTTTAGCCTAGCTTATACTGTCCGTTATACATTAAACGCGCATGCGTAACCGCATGTGCAGAAAGTTTGTAGCTTTGAGGTCCGGATTATAGATCATTCCGGCTTATGGACATCCAGATTAAAGACTTTATACTGTATAAACATTTTTTTTTTTAATATTGCAGTTGCATGATTTAATGTATTAGAACTGTGGGAAATTTTTGGTAGTCTTCTGTTATCAGTGACCGAATTAAGAAATATATCTATGAATACACATGTGTATGTATGCATATATGTGTATGTGTGTACACATATGTACATACATGTAATACATGAATACATACATCCATACATAAAGGCATACATATCTGAATCTGATCCTGATAACAGAAGAGTACCAAATTTTCAAACATTTGCAATTTCATTGATAACATACATCATAAATTTAAATGAGATTTAAAATAAAATTTCAATTAATTTTGATAGAATGAAATTTTGTGTATGCTGTAAAATCTCCAATATTCATTTGGAGCCTTATAAAAATTGTTCAGTAAGAGCTATGATGAAAGGGATGCAAAATTAAAACAAATTAAATATTGTGTGAAAAAAACAATATTGCCAGCAGATAACTTTATGTCAGTTCCATGTGTGAAGTACCAACAAGTTTTAAATAAAAAAGTATCACTTCCAGTTGATTGATTGTTGGCCTAATACCTAGAAAGATCTGTAATATGAAATTTTGGATTATATTTTATTAGGTATAGTTGGCCATGTGTGAAAATTGGTTTTCTAAATTTATACCTACATAATCAAATGTTTGTTCATTTATTCTTTTGATTAAAATTGTATTTTATTGAGTATTTGAATAACATATAATTGAATTGCTTTTTAAGTAAAGAAAGATAAGTACTTATATATATTTAAAAAAAATACTTTGAAATAATTATTGTAATTTTATTTTCTTTTATGTTATTTTTATAGTATCAACATATCTAAATTAATTTTAATTTGCATGTATATCCCTGCGATATTTAGGTATCATTAAAATATGCAAAAATATGTTGTTTTTTTGTGAACTGTTATGGGTTTCAAGTAAACTATGATTTCTGGCTGTCCAGGTTTACATTTAGTCAACTATGAGAGCAAAAAGCTTAAATATGAAAACAGAAATTTTTGGAAGTTTGATATATGAGTTATTGTGAAAGAAAAAAAGTCCTCACAGACTAACAGACAGTCATCATTCTAAAAATAGTCAAACCATGTTGTGAATATCCTAACTTATGCTTATTCACCAAGCTAGTTTGGCTGGGGGGTGAATATAAAAATAATTAGGATGTGCGATACTGAGTTTTATCTTGGTGTTAACATCTGTTATGATAAGTGTATTTACAGGCATCATTAGGCCACCACTTTTTTGTATAGAATTTTTTTAAAGCATTCTGTCTTTTTATTACCTATTTATTGAGTATACCATAACAAATATAATGGGGAGTAATATGATAGAGTCAGTTCTGAATGGAGAATTATTTTACATGTATTTGCTAAATTTATCTCAATAATAATACATCCAGTGATGCATGCCATCTTTAACATATGTTGAAAGGGAATGTTATTTTAAAGTTATTAAACATTTTTATTCAAATAAACACAAAATAAAGTTTGAATTTTATCAATTTAACAAACATTTCCTGCAAAGGAAATCAGTGTGACAGATGATCAGTCATTTTCTGTGAGTTACATTGAGAATATGTAATTTTGAAATTTAATCTATAAAAGCATTCTATATTTTTATGGCATTTTAATATATATCTCTGTTTTTAAATAATGAAGAATCTGTATGCATCTATGTTCTTCACATAGGAGAAAAATGGCAGAACCTAAAGCTACCAAATTTTGAACACACGTACTCCTGCATCCCAACATGTGCATCTCAAATCCCAAATTCTGAATTTTTTTTTAAAAAAAAATTATTTCATATTTTGTGCAAGCTTAATGAAATTTTATTTAAATTCGGCAGTATAAAAGCAATTTGTTGCCACTAGGCAAATTGTAGGATATTAATGTTTCAAGTTTAATTAGAAAACTCAGTGATTTAAAAGAAATGTGTTGCCACTTGGCAAAGCTTGAAGTATTTCTCTTTAAAATTTAACCACAAAACTCATTGATTAAAAAGGAGTATGTTGGGATTTCCCAAAATAAAATATTTTTATCTTCTGCATACCAGTGTGTTATTGCGCTTACGGAAAGCATAAGTTATTTAATTTTTCTTTCAAATTTAACCTGTGCATTATTGATTAACAAACTGATTTAAGACCACTGAATGCTGTTTTTCATCTCTGTTATTATTAATATTTTGTATAATCTGAAAATTTCAATTTTAATTTAGGTTGGGTAATTTTGTGTTATTTGGAAGTTATGAGAAATAGAATTGGCATAAATTTACCATTATTTTATTTCTGAGATGAGAGATGTATCTCTGTCTTCAAGCCATGGAAGTTATTTTTCAACCTTCAGTTAACTAACGTTTTAAATGCAGTTGCAAGGCTCTGTTTATGTAGCTTCTGTGATTTGTAATGATCCTTCACTGCCTTTTTGCTGATTTATAAATCACAATTTTGTTTCTTAGAAATTAATGACATTGATACAGTGGTTTTCATAAATGATTTACTGTTATGACAAAGTACTCAAGGCTTATCTTACCCTTTAAAGGGAGTACTTGCATAAAACTTTCTCAGGAGCTCATTCATGTTAAATATACCGGAGAAGACGGAAAAAATTAAAAATATTCTGCCTAGTACTGCGGATCAAATCTGGGCAGAGCCATTAATCACTTGGCTGTTACTGTCATGAGCAGGATGGCAGTTCCTCATTTACAGTCAAAAGTCGTTAATCTGGACTCGTCGGGACTTCGGTGATTCCGGATTATCGATTTTTCCAGATTATAGATCATCAGTTTAAATCTGGTAAGATGGCATGCAGAAATTATAAAATTAAAAATATGAAACCGTAATTTATGAAATAAAGAGCAATTATGATGTAAAGGGTATCAAAATTTACAAAAAGAAAAAGCTAAATATTTATTTGTTTACTTTATTAAATATTTCTTTCAATGTAAGTTGTTTAATTTGCTTCATTTCATGTGATAATACTTTCTCTTTAATTCTATTAAACAGACATAATTTCTTGTTTAGTTACAAAGTTCTGCTGTTCAAGTCCTATAATTGCTCTGTCGAGAATACAGACTAATTTGTCAATCGAAATTTTTTCGTTTTCAATAACCTCAGAGTCACTTTCTTCACTATCGGAAGCGAATTATAATGATGAGGAACTTGATTTAAATCATATCAAAGACCCGAGTACATCGAGATGAAATACTACATTTAGTAAAGAATTGTAAGCCAAATAAAATAAAAACATCTGCCCTGAAGATAAGAATAGTGTTGACAGATCAACTTCCAATTCATTGCGTGCCGTGTCGTTTCCCTTCCCCAGCAGAGCAGCGTGAAATTGATAAACATATTTCAGAATGATTAGATAATCAAAGGATATGCCTTTATCCATTTTTTGCAGCAATTCCATTTTCTGTTTTATGGACTTCGAAACATACTTTTGTTTTGTAGATCCTTTACATATTAGTAAATATATATCGGAAATTTTATTTGACATATTCGGAAGTTCAAGCTTACTTTTATAAAATTGCTCTAACAGTCTGCAAAAAATAATAAGCCGGATCCAATTCGAAGATTAAAGAACAACACAATCTGCAACATTCACTGAAATAGATAATTAGATAATTTTAGCTTATACCGTCCGTTATACATTAAACGCACATGCATAAACGTATTATGTGCATGCGCACATGTATATTCGCAGTCCTAAAGGTCTTACGCGCACGCGTAAACGCGACGCATGCGCAGAAAGTTTTTAGCTTTGAGGTCTGGATTATAGATCATTCCGGATTATGGCTGTCCGAATTAACGACTTTTGACTGTACTAGAAATATTCTTAAAACTTATTACTTTTCATGTGTCTTTGTTATATTAGAATTTCAAATGACTGCCAGTCAAAGAAAAGTGGCTGTATATTATCTAAATAGCTGGAATACAGTAGGTACCACTTAATGGGTTATTTTGCTAACAATTAATCATTAAATATATCAAATATATTATTAATTATATCATTAAATCATCAGATTATATCATTAAATGGTGACAAAGAATATCCATAGCAATATCAACATAGAAATGAAATTAGGCATTTCTGTATATTTTTGGTTATTTTCCTTTTTTCTGCTATGCTTTTCTGAAAAATGGATTTTTTACATTTTTAAAATTATTTTTTTCCCATTTTTTTAATGACAAGTGCAGTTATTTTTACATTATTTTAATGATTTGAGTTTTTTTTTTTTTTTGTTTAGTTTAAATTTCATGCTTTAAGCGTAATAAGAAGCTGAAATTATATATCCTTAGGTAAAGAGACCGTAAACCAAGAGGATGAATTTGACGATCTGGAAGACTTGGACTTAGATCAGGATTTACTAAATCTTTTTAATTCAGATAGTGAAGAATCAGATTTTTATGGCTTTATATGATGTATAGTTTTCTGCAATTCCTTTTGTAAGTAAAATTTAAAATTTCCTTTTGTCATCCAAATTTAATATTTCATTGTTGTAACATTTTTTTATAAGTATTACAAATATGAACTTCTTTAGTGAGTAAATATAAGTATATTCGTAAACGTAAGTATATTTTCAACATTTTTTACCTTTAATCTATTTTTGAGTTATGGTTTAATTTCATGCATTTTTCTTAACTGATATGTCACATATCAGGACATAGATTGAGATTTTGCATCTATACAGCCCACAACGATGTCACGCATAATTTAATATATTGCGGTGTTTCTGTGTAATTTAAATTTTTTCCCCCGCCATTTTTCTCGAGTGTGCCATTTATGCTGATACGCCCTTTATTCCGGAAATTACGATAATACAAAATTTTTCCGAAAAATTTATAAATAAATCATAAAAAATGAGGGAATTTTATTTGAAATGAAATTAAATTTCAAAATATGAAAGGAAGAATCAAATAAGTTTAATAAAAAAAGAGATATTAATAAATATATATCAATTAAATTAACATTGAGGAGCTAAAATTTTGAGAGCAAATTTTTTAAAGACTACTCGTCTGACTTTTACAAAACGTGGCAGTTTGGCATAATTTGAGTTGTAGAATCGAATATGGAAAAACATTGGCATGCCATTTCAGAAAAAGTCCGATTTTGTGTCAAAATACCTATATTAAAAACAATGCTAAATATAAATCTAATACATATCCTAAGTCTCGCTTTTGATACATGAAAAACGCAATTTGAATTTCGTCAATCGGCCCAGTGGAATGGGAGATATAGAACTGTTCTCCCTCTTTTTTTTTACGTAGTGTACTCCTGTCTCTGAAAATAACAAAAACTATAATGACCGAAAGAGGCAGTGTTCTATTGGAGTAATAGATATGTTCCTGTTGTATATCCTATTCTAGATCATACTCCATACAAAAGATTACTTCTGATATGCTTCTTGTGGGTCTTCATTTTATGCTTACCACTTAGAAATAAGGTACAATGTCCATTCCAGCACTTTTTACGAGACCAAACACTGGATAATCCAGTACTGATAACACTCCACAACAGCTAAATAAAAGGCTGACTGTCATCTCTTCCTGAAAGTATGAAACCCCATGGGGTAATTTCCCCCAGTTAAGAACCCCTGATATATGCAGACAGCACTTCAGATTATGATGATGTAACAAAATATTTGATTTGATACTTCTTGATTTGTTATTGATGAATACTAAAAAAACTGAATAAGTGATGAACAGTGATCTTTCATATGACAAAAAATGTCAGAATTTGATATTTTTATTATTTATGAATTTTACAGTTTATTTCTTGTGTGCACAACAAATAAAGTATTTAGAAAAGATGGCATTTCTAGTATGGGCGTATTTAGGTATTACTGAATACTTACATGCAGACACACTCAAATTTCAAGTATGTATGTAATTTTATAAGAAAGAAATAGTGACTATATTGTTTGAATAATTTATTAGCTGAAATGCATAATGTGCAAATTCACAAAAGACACTATATATTTTTATTTTCAAAGTTAGTTTCTATATTACATAAATAGTTACTTGTATAAATTGAAAATGAATGCTGTATGATAATATACAATGTGCTCTTTTCTTAAATACACTACAGAAATTGGTCAAGATTTTTGTAAAAATAATTCCATTAGTGTTTTTATCATTGAAAAGAATAGAACATGTTCACATGTTAACATTTTCAAGCGTGGTTTCAAATATACATTTCTGCCACATTACAATGATATGAATTGAAATACATCCTAAAAGTGTAATATATGTCATTACAATATAATTGCCTTCTTATAATAGGTAATGTAGAATATAAAATTTCATATATATTTGTACAATAAATTTTTTACAAATTTTTTTATCATTCTTATGTATAATGTAATGCTAGCTAGCTAATTTTATACAAAAATGTTACATATGCAAATGTACATTTTATAAATGTGTGAAATTTTTCACTTTATCTTTATTTATTTTCAGCAGTGCTATTTCAGAAGATCAAGCATAACAATATTTTACCTTGGAAAGTTTTCTTTTATTAAACTTGATATTTGAAATAGGTTTACAATGCTATATATTTGTCTATGAATATCAACGGATTTTCATGTAAATACCTACATTTACAAATGTTTAGTATGTTTAAGTAACCGTATACTTTTATTTTATTGAAACTATTAAAATTAATGTACAAATACTTGTGTAATTAACTAATGAAATAATTTTTTGGCATAATAATGTATCGAATGATATATTAAAAAATAGGAAGCGAAAATATAAATTATTTAACTCTTTAGATATAAATTTTATATCTCAGAGCATTTAATGTGTGTATTCTTATGTGTATTGAGCAATATTTTAATTTGTGTTGGAAGCATACTACATTTTATTCACATAGAAAAATTAAAATGAATGCTACAAAAGTTGTGAAAAAATTCAGAAATCTGCTTGTATAAATATATTTAATTTTTCCTTTGAATCTTTTTGTTTTGACATTATAAGCTAACATAATTACGTTTTAAATTTTGCATTTTAATTAAATTCCCTTTTATTAAAGTTAATGTGAACGACATTACATGGTATATGTCATGAACCTTAAACTTTTACATACAAACTGCTTTTTTTTGGGGGGGGGGAGGGAGACAGTAATAAAATAATTCCATTAGTGTACATAAACATCTATAAAACATCTATAAACATCAACATTTTTTCTTTGTTTTTGTAATTATTCTAAAAAATATATCATTAATGTATGGAGAAAAAAGAAGATTTTGAATCTGAAGATTAATCTTTGTGACAGTTTCACAGTCCACAGCATAATATGTAATTACCAAAATTCACATTTCTTGTCATATATGAGATATGTGAATTGTTGAAGGCAGGGTATGAGAGTCACGTTAATTTAATCTTTATGTGTAATTCTTTTATTTGCTGTCACTCAGGATGTCTGAATTGCTGGATATGTGTGCAAAAAATTCTTGTGTGAGTAACTGTATATTAGTTTGAGTATTGCGAATATTCAGTGTTGTTACTAAATACAAAGAAGCCTAAATTCTGTAAAACAAAATCAGGTCGTTTCTTTTTTTTTTTCTCCCCCCTCCATTTGGTAAGTTTTATTGTGGTATGAGGGATATGTTTTATAGGAGTGACCAAATTTTCATTGCTGAAGATTGATTTTTATACCTTCATATAATCAGAAAACCATAAATTTATTCTTCAGAAATAAGATTTTGTGGATATTTTTTTTTAGTGACATGTCTATGCAAAACCAAGTTGTGTACTATTGTATATATATTAAAAGCTTATTATGTATTGAAACAAATGTGAAGCAATTTTATCAGGGATTTCAAATTACTTTGTAATAATTTGTGCATTTTTTTCCTTTGTGTAATTTGTAATCTAATTTGTACAATTATAGACATAATTAATAAAATATATTATATTCATTTGAAAATAAGATCCCTTCGAAGTCTTCGTAAATTCTAAGGTAAAGTTTGAGAAATAAAAATGCAGGTGAATATTTATTTTGTCTTGCAGTAATTGTGAAAAAGATAATCTTAAATTTTTTGTTCCCCCCCTCCCCTTCTAGAATTTCCAGCACCATTAACTGTGGCCTAAGAATATTTTTACCTATTTGATTTTAGGCTTTAGATGATCGAATGGTAGCTGCAGCTTTAAATGTAAATCAGTGAGCTAGATGTGACTATTATAATTAGCAGTAGTTATGTATTTTATATGTTACCAGCAATGCATGAAATAAGGACAATGTATAGAATACCTAGGCATTTTTATGCAAAATATGGACCATGAAAATTATTATATACTTTCCCAATATTATTTTGCCAATATTATATTTCAAAAATACAAATATTATTTTGAAAAGAAAAAATGAAAGAATCGTATTAAAAACTTTATTCGAAATATGCAAAGAAAAATGAAAGTTTTACAAAACAAAATTTGTGTGGTTCTTATTAAGGAAAACAATGTATGAAATATATGGAATTACAGAACACATTTAATTTTTAAATGTATAATATTTAAATGTATAGATTATGTACGAATGTATTAAATGTATGGATGTTTGAAAAAAATCAAATATGTATTTCGTACTTTGCCAGTTTATAATCTTGCATTCTATAAATTATCTAGGAAATATATGAAATGTCAATCATTTAAAAGTCACTCAATGGCCAACTATGTATGAAATGTTAATCATTTCATACATTGCTGACTAGTTTTCAGCATTCTGGAGAATGCCTGAGTATTTATAGAGTGCTGGCTTTCATTGCCAGTAACATATATTTTCCTTCCATCCTGCAGTTTTGTTTTACAAAATAATCCACCAAATTTTAGAACAAACATATAGTTAAAATAGACAGTATATTTTCATGTAAAGATGGTAAATTAGTTTTAAGTTTCATAAATTTAGAGTTTACTTTCACGCCCCTTTTTATGAGGTGTATTTGTTTTTGAAAGAGAAAATTTATGCTAATTTTATTTCTTAAGTTCAGTCTGCAGATGAATTTATATATAAGTCAAAAGTCGTTAATTCGGACCTCAAAGCTACAAACTTTCTGCGTCGCATTGACGCATGCGCAGTAAGACCTTTACGGCTGCGAATATGCGTGTGCGCGTGCACAAAATACGTTTACGAATGCGCGTTTAATGTATAACGGACGGTATAAGTTAAGCTAAAATTATCTAATTCAGTTAATGTTGCAGATTGCGTTGTTCCTTAATCATCGAATTGGATTTGGCTTATTATTTTTTGCAGACTGTTTGAGCAATTTTATAAAAGTAAGCTTGAACTTTCGATTATGTCAAATAGAATTTCTGATATATATTTACTAATATGTAAAGGATCTACAAAGCAAAAGTATGTTTCGAAGTCCATTAAACAAAAAGTGGAATTGTGGCAAAAAATGGATAGAGGCATATCCTTTGTTTATCTAAACTTTGTTTATCTTTAACGCCACGGCAGTGCGCAATGAATTGGAAGTTGATCTGTCAGCACTATCCTTATCTTCAGGGCAGATGTTTTTATTTGGCTTATAATTCCTTACTAAATGTAGTATTTCATCTCGATGTACTCCATCTTTGATATGATTTAAATCAAATTCCTTGTCATTATAATTCGCTTCTGATAGCGAAGAAAGTAACAGAGGTTATTGAAAACGAAAAAAATTTGATTGACAAATTAGTCGGTATTCTCGACACAGCAATTATAGGACTTGAACAGCGGAACTTTGTAACTGAACAAGAAATTATGTCTGTTTATAGAATTAAAGAGAATGTATTATCACATAAAAAACGAAGCAAAACATTGAAAGAAATGTTTAATAAAGTAAACAAATAAATATTAAGCTTTTTCTTTTGTAAATTTTGATACCCTTTAGATCATAATTGTTCTTTATTTCATAAATTACGGTTTCATATTTTTAATTTTATAATTTCTGCATGCCATCTTACCAAATTTAAACCGATGATCTATAATCCGGAAAAATCGATAATCCGGAATCGCCGAAGTCCCGATGAGTCCGGATTAACGACTTTTGACTGTATATGTATGTGTGTGTGCAATAATTGTTTATTTGAAATATCTTTTTAAAATTTTATATCAAAAAAGAAATTTAATTTTTGAATTAATTAGGACAAGTAATGAAATTCCCAATTTGAAAATAAATTATTTTGATTAATTTTGCATATTAGCTATTTATTTTGTAACTAATGTTTTCAAGTACAGTTAAAAATGTAATTTTATTTATTCAAATTTATTATTTATTTTAATGTAGTTTAGTTTGTTATTCTAAAAAAGGAATTTTCGTAAAAAATAATTTTAAGTTTTGTAGGTTTGGGAAAAAGGCTTTTTTAAGATTATCTTATAATATATTTTAGGTAATAAATTTTTAAATCTTTGTTCCTTATACTTCAGAGAAATTTTATGGAGATGTATTGAAATTTTTGTCTTTAATTTATATTTGATTATCATTCTAATATACATTTATTGATTTATTGTCAATGTTTATTAGGAAATAATTGTATAATTTTATGAAACAGCAAAATGACTAATGATATGGTTGTTAAGTCTATGAAGTATTTGAGAGCAAACTTGAATAATATGTGATGTAAATGTTTTCTATGTATGTGATTTACTTTTAATTACCTGAACTGTGTTGTATGAAATTTTAATCTATTCAAAATACTTTTTTTAGTGAAAATTTGTAATAAAAATTCAAGTGTGTAATTTTTTAAACTGTTAAAAATATTTTGAAATTATTAAGAACGAGAATTTTTTAAAAAGTAATGAAATTAATTTATGGAATGTATTTAGTTAAATGTGTATTAAATAAATTAATATTGGTTAAGTATGTATGAATGTTATAGTTTTCAAATTAATATTCTCTGTACTTTGCAGTATTTCTTTTCTCTGATTAAAGATTTTAGAATTAGAGTTCAAGAAATGCAATATGTATACTATATGAAATATGTACAGTGCATGAAGATTTATAAATGAGATATTTGTTATGAAGAAATGCCACATGCAATAGCTTATCGTACTTAATTGCTTCTAAGCTGTATGTATAATGTATTTTCTGTGGGGTTGTGAAATGAACTGCATGCAAATTTTGTAGCACTATGATTATGGTTAATCATGCATAAGTCATTGTACAATTTTTGAATGATTTTTATTTTCTGAGAATAGTTGATGGGATGTACTTTTATAGCTTTGTGAATGATGATTATAAACTAAGCACCAAATATTTCATTAAGTTGTAGGCTTAATTTGCTATTTTGCTACTGATTACAACAGCAGCAACAATTAGGTATGATAAAATGATGCAAATATGGTGAAAAATTACATTAAGCATTTAGTATGATCAATTTTTTATTGTAGTGCAAAACAGTCAGACAGTATTTGTTTTGTTATTCATCTTTCAGCATTATTAAAATCTTGCTTCTCAGGATCACTTATGTAGTTTTTGGATGTTTTGTGTTGTCTGTATTTTTAATAATTAGAATTAATTAAATTAAAAAAATACCTCAAGTAGTTTTTGATCCATTCAGCTGTATTTTTAAGAATGGCTTTCCTCATTAGTTGTTTTCACAGTCATGAAATAAAATGTTAAATTAGGAAAAATTCGGCATCTTCTGCTGTTAGTAATGAGAGAAAGATTTGGTTCTTGATGGAGAGTATTCCATGACTGTCTGTTTTAATTTTCGATATGAAAAACTAAAAAAAATCTTTTTGCTTGAATTAAAAGTGATAGTGTGAAGTTTCTTTTCAGAAATTGGGGGAAATATTTGCTGTGGGAAAGATAAAATGATCTTAACTATCTTTGAAATCAGATGCTTGTTTAAATTTTAAGTAATAATACTTCAATATATAATCTGTGTATGGTTTATGCTCAGTGATGAGATTTAGCTAGTTAACATCAGTTTGGTAGAATTGCTTCATAAAATATTTTTGATATGATGGACCAGTTGTTAAAATTAAATAGCAGTATATATTTTGGCAATTTATCATTATTTAGTTTAACTATTGTTCATTTAGGCAGCAAAATTTTATTAAATTATTTGAATTCCACCACAGTTTGTGTTTCTTATTCAATTTGTTTGCGCATGCCCTAAAATGAGTCGAAAATGACTATGACATGTTAAAAATAAAGCCAGTTTTTTAAAGCACTTTTGAGAAGTTAAAAAAAATTAAAAAGCAAATAATTTTAATAACTTTTATTTACAGTTTTTTAATATTGGATTTCCTTTTTAATAGATCAAATACACAGTTTTAATTTGTTTTAGCCTTTCTTCTAATTAAAATAATTTTCTCTTGATGATAATTTCTGTTAATATTTTTATGCACTTAATATAATAATATAGTAATCGTAGTATTTTATTTAATATAAATGTGAGCATAAAATGCTTTTTAAATTGAATGTTATTTTTAATGATATATTTTAAAATAAATGTGTTACCTATACTTACAGTTTAGTTTATAATTTAGTTATAAATTATCAATTAATTTATAATAAATTATAAACTACTGTAAGTATAGAATAATTAATAAATATATAATTATAAACTAAAATGTAAGTATATAATTATATATGGATTTAAATTTAATTTATATTTCCTAATATAATTAATTCTGAATCATTAAATTATATAATATATTATTTAAATTATAAAATATATATATATAGATATATTAATGAATTTCATTAATTTAATTATTCTTCCCTTATAATTATAAATCATCTAATTTATATAATTCTATTATGATTTATATTTCTAATTTTATTTCAGAATTTCATGAAAGCAATTGATTTCATTTTATGAACTATATGCCTATACATACTGTAATAGCATTTGTTTTGCTATGTGATGAATTAATTGAAAATTTTATTTTATAAGATTCATTATTTATTTATTTTGTTGAATGCATTAGTTAAAATACTTTTTATAACTTGGAAGATTATGAGCTTCATTTATTTAAAATTGTGCAGTTAGAGTTAATTTTACATCTGACATTATGAAATGCTGATAATCAAGTTTGCTGTTAACATAGCTAGGCTGCAATTAATTTCCTATTCTAGTTCATATCTTGAATAATTTCATTGATGTAACTTTTCATACAATATTACATTTTATCACAATCCCTACAAGTCATAAATTGAATTTCCAGTGGTTTATGTTGACTCTAGAAGAGTGAAAATGCAGTAACTGTGATACCAGATTCAACCTTATTTTTCACAAACATAATTATTTCCCAAAAGTAATTTTGAATGGCTTAGGATTTAAAATAATTAGATAATGAATGACAGTAGTAACAGATAAATAACAATGATAATTAAGTAGTTTAGAGGAACAATAAATTAAAACTGTATTTTAATCATTTAAAAATTGAAAGTTGTATTGAAAGAGAAATGTGCCAATCTAAAATTTAAGAGTTAGACTAAAAGACGATCTTAATTTGGCATAGATTTTGAATAAAGTTAAATCAGTTTTGAGGATAATCAGACATAGGTCCTTTTTCTTCAGAAGGAGGGGAGAGGATCAAAGATTTTTTCTTTCTCTTTCTAAATGAAAAGTGACATGCGTTTTATCTCTTTCAAAATCGATAGTTTTTAGTGAAACAAATGTCGCCTAATTTTAATTAGGCAAATGTCGTTTTTGCCTAATTTTCAATTGAAAATTTATTTAAATTAGACATTCATAAATTTTTGAAATTTCTTTCTATTTGTATAATTTAGAGAATTCAATGACTATTTTATATTTTATTCCTGAAAAAATAAAAGTAGTTTAAAAAAATAAAAGGTTTTAAAAATGTTTTTCTAATACAGTGTACTTTGGATTATCTGGGCTAATGCCAGGAAAGTAGGTCATGCATAATTAAAAAACACAGATAATCCAAATTATCACTTTTCATGCATATAGTATGTGTTTATTTCTTCAAAAAAGCATTAATTTAATTTTGTTTTTAAGAACATTTAAATATTTGTGGACTTTCACTGAATATTTTTTGACGTGCTATTTTATCACTATATTCAAATCCCCTCTGGTCAAAGAAGGCCAACAGAGTTTCAGAAGTTATTGTTGCCTTGGGATTAATGCAGTTGTCAGATCTTCTTCACTTGCAGTTTTAGTATCACTCTTTATCTTTTCTCTTCGAGTGATATTTTAAATGATATCCACGATATCTACATCTTTCAGGCATTGAAAGCCTGGCTGAGTCAAATTGCCATTGAACCTTGAGTCAAATTTCTTGATGTTTTCTGTTTGACATTTTCAAACTTGACCTCATCACAATTAAATAAATCTCTAGTTTCTATACTTCTATATAAATATATTCTGTATATAATTGTATATTATGTATGAATCTCTAATTTTTATACACTCTTGTGCATAGCATTGAGTGTGCGTGAGTGAACACTGCCACATGCAGATAACTTGCAAACTGCATAATCTGCACCTGGATAGCTTTGTACACTGGATTCTAATAATGCAGTTTTTGTAAAAATCTGAACAACATATGTTTATTTTTTATGTGTTTTACATTATTGAATATGTACCTAAACAAAGTGTGCCTTTATGAGAGTGAAAAACAGTTTTAAGTACTGTGATTAATTCTTATGATATTATAAAAGAGTCTGAACTTGTTTATTTTCTGTGCTGTTTATATTTAACCTACAGTAAATTTTAGCAACAATTTATGAATAAAAAAAGTTTAATATTAGAATGTGTTTGTGAAATGTATTTCAATTTAGCATAAGAAGTTAAAGAATATAGCAACTGATCTTTAAATAATATTTACATTTTAAATGCGTCAAAATGTGACTTACTTTTATGTGTATTAGTGAAACCAATCACTTGATATCTATTTATAAAATGTAATATTTGGTGCATATATACATTACTAATATGAAATTTATTCTTTAAAATTTTAATAGTTAATGCCATACCAGTTACCAGTATTCCAATTCTTTATAATATAAAGAGAAACATAGTACTGATAAAAGGAATAATAGTCTGCAAAAATATTTGTATTAAATTATGTGTTTGGTATATTTTTTAGTTTTATATATCTCTACACAAATGCTTAACAGACATTTTTCTTAATCACATTTTTTTTTTAAATCTAAATTTAAAAGTTAGAATTTGAGTTAAAGTTACACATGTGATGTGTATTTGATGATTTTCTCTTTGTTAGGAATTTTGGAGAAAAAAGTATATGACAAGTAATATGTCAGTAAAAGGTCTAATTTCTCACCTTACAAAATGCTGGCTGCAATTCGTCCCCCTTGAGTTTTAGGACATTAAATTTGATTGTTGAACAAAGGGTTGTAAAACTGAGGTTGTGTTGAGAAAGTTACACAAAAAAAGCTTTCTTTCAAATTGTTTAAAGTTTGAAAAATAAATAATATTTGTTTTTATTTGAGAGTGAAACTGCTTGAATACCCCTCCCCCCCAAGAAAAAGAATCAAATACTTTTAAAACTATTAAATATAAGTATACTTATTCAGTATTTATGTAATTTATCATCTATCTGGCAAAGAATTAACTTTTGTTATCTGCAGAAGATTCTTACAGGAGTTTTCTTATATAAAATATTTTGCATGAACAGCACATTAATTTGTAAACATTTTTCATTCAAAATATTTTGGATGAAGAATGAGCACACATTTTTCGTACACACTAAAATATTCATATAAATTATACATGTATCAAATTTTAATGTATTATACTATATAATATTTAAAAATTGATAATAAAAAAAGTTGAAAATCTGTCATATTAAATTGGGGGGGGGGTTAATGATCTGATGGTGGAGATGGTTTAAAGGCCTAAAGTTATGATAAAAAATTTTCTCTTTTTCCCACATGCATGGAAAGTTACAAAAGTATCTTGGAAGGTGCTGTTACATATCGTCTGTGTACTTTTTTTAAAATGAAAGTGTGCCCATGTTGTGGTTGTCAGAAATGCGCTTGAATTTATTTTGCATACTTTATGAGGAGAATTTAAATTCTAATACAGTTGCCCAGCCTTCTCATCTGAAGGACCATTTAAAAAGTTCGAGTTTAACTCGTGGGTCAGATATTATTATAATAGTTTGTAAGATAATTTTAGAAAAAATACTTCTGTGGACAAAAAATACTCATGTTTAATTTACACTAAACATTTCCGACTGAAAAGAAAAATTGCGGTTTATCTTATTGTGTTTATCAGATAGAGTTAAATCTCTATTTTATATTTAGTTGAGACTGAAAATCAAATTCTTTAAGTGCTAAAATCGCAGTTCTAAGAAGACGATTGAAACAAACTAGTTGGGTATGTCTTTATATCTTAAAAGGTTTTGTTTATTGGACATTTGGTTTATGAAATGCAAACTTGAAGACAAAGTCATATTTCTGAAATTAAGATAATAATTTCTATCAGTAGTGTAAATGCTGACAGTAAAAACACGCAGAATAAAATTAATAAAAGTTTTGGAACTGCAAATCACATGTAGCTCTCACCATAATTGGTCTTAATGTATCACACAATGAAAAGAGATGGATAAGATGTTTATTAGAGTAAAGTCTTGTCGATCTGTTAACAAAAAACTTATTAATCATTCAGCCGTTAGTCCTTAGCAGAGGTAAGAAAGGATTCTCATGTTTTCAGAAAAATTATTCGCTACACTTTATGAAAATTTTAAAATCTGAAAATTTTTAAATTAATGAAACAAGCAATGTTGTTATAAAGAAATAAAAGAAAAAACTAGATTAGTGAAAACTCAGAATATTGAAAATTAAACTGTATTTTTCAGTAGATTTCATAAAGATGTAGTTGATGAAACTACTTGCTAAAATCTAAAAAATTTAAAATACCTGCATCGAAGTAAAAACCCTTCTAAAATTACGGGCCCATCAGCAGCCGAGCGGTAACGTCGCTCAACACTGACAGTTTGTTGCGGGGTTCGAATCCCAACGAACGGGCTGGCTGCATGGGCATTTTCGTGGTTTTCCGTGTATATGAGCCACTCTTTCTGATAAAGACATCCACGAATGCGTCCCTCCCTTTAGGCAGATAGCCCTCGAATGCTTTGCTATAATTAACAAACCAAACCATACCAACTGAAATTATGTTCTGTTCTCTCCATTCTTCTATAAATAATTTCTTTTTATTTATATTTAATGACAGTCATTTAGAAATCAGGGACTTTATTCTGTCTACAACCTGGTCCTAAACATAATTAAGAATCCAGGATTGTCCGGGCTAATCCAGGGATATCTAGTAGTCCGAAGTTAAGCACTAATGGCGATGATATTAATGAGTTTTAGTAAAGACTGCTTTTTTTGCTAGTGGTTTCATCACATTTGTTTTAAAAAAGAAACCGTACTTTTATATAACTAAATATCTGTAGAACAGTAGTAACTAAAATACGGAAAAACTAAAATTTAACTAAAATTTGTATACTAAAATGTGGAAAATGCATCATTTATTGTGATTAATAATTTGGTTAATATGATCAGAATATTACAGAATAGATTTTTTAACCTGAAGTAAACTCACCAAATGAGCTCAAAATATATTAGATTATAAAAATTGTTACTTGACAGAAAATTGTTGCCATGTAAAGTGTTTAGTCGCCAAATAGCTTGAATTCAGTTTTAGCCAATCATTTAAAATTAAGGAAATTAAAAGGAGGGGGGGTTATAGCTTTGACGTAGATTTTCAATAACTCTATCGATTTTGAGGGCAATCAGCAGATCGGATCAATCGATTTTGAAGCAAAACAGTTTCTGCAGAATTTTTTCTCCTGTGTGTGTGTGGGGGGGACATTCTCTAAAAACACTTATTCCAAACTAAGGTTATTTTTTTGATTAATTTAAAATTTTACATTGGCAAGTTCTGTTATCTGCGGGCAATGAGGGATGCTTTCCGAGTATTTATGTTAGGGGTCATCGATCAAAAATTTCCGGAAATGTTATGAAATGTTCATAAATGGACTTTTGCATTAAAGACATTGTGAATAGTTCATAAACTTTTGCACTATCTTAACCAAAATGCTGCAAAAATATCTATTTGTATGGTTCTTGAAATTTTTGTATTAAATTAGTTAAATTCCATCGCTATTTTGAAGGATATTTTTTCTCATCGTTTAATGACATCAAAATAGCCTTGGGCAAATGTGATCACATTAAAGGCTTCTACTATGAAAACTGGCTTAACGTAAAAAATTAAGCTTTTAATTACATATTCAAAGCGTAACCTAATTTCTGAATCAGTTAATGACTTTTATCAGTACTATATCCCCTGACATTTATACATACAAATGAAAATGAATCAAGAACTTTGATATTATTTGGTTCCATGATCTCAGGTGGTGAAAATTTTTCTCCTCCTGTCTCAGGTGGTGAAAAGTTTTCCCCACCTGAGACCATTTTTTTGTGTTCGATTTTGCAAAATACATTATTCTGAAAAGTTCTGTTCTCACATTAGAAAAGAAAAGAGAGAAATGATATAACTCTCTTTCTTGAAAAATAGGCGTAGAATATTCTACAGGACTACCAGGTCACACTATCGTACCTCTAACATTTTCATTCGCCGGTGTGATCTCAACGTCTATAGAGCCTTTGTTAGGTATAAGAATTGTTCCATTCTCATGCTGTGGTTGTTCAACTACCAAAGATTCTGCGGGTAAAGACTCTTCGGAAGATGTGGTTGCTTTCTTTTTCTCTTTCTTTGGCTTTGATGCTGACTTACACCTGACGGATCCACGTTTCATGAAGATTTTGACGCTGGATATCGGACTTGGCCGAATAAGAAATCTTTAAAAATGTAAGAATGTAATTTATTAAATAGCTGATATTTACAATGCACTGTCTGTCCGAAAAGTTCCGAAACTGAATAAATGAAAATTAGAGGAAATTTAAGATGAAGCTTTTAATGCTTCAGGTGTTCTATATAGCGTACCTCCACTTGATTACAATGCACCAGACCGAAATTAACGCATGGATTCATTGGGCAATTGCCCGGGGCCCCACGAGCGTAGAGGTCCTATGCTAATCCGTCTACATTTCATTTTTGTGAGTGATTGTCATGTTAGGGGCCATGGGTCCGTAATGTTTTTAAGACGTCTTTCATTACCCAGAACATTCATGCAACCATACGAAACTGGTAGAAATGTCCTTGCTTGGGATGAGTCCTTGCTAGGAATGTGAGATTTTACTCACGTGTCACTGTGGCGTGAACCTTGATTACGTCGGGATAGCACTAACCCTTCATGTGAAGTTGGATTTTTAGGAATAAAATATAGTCACTCGACGCAGGGTAGTTGAGAACTGTTATACGTTTTTTTTCGCTAGAAAATGCAGCACTAGCTGTGTGAGTGGACGCATTATCATGCAGCAAAAAAGAAATCCCTCTTCTTCTAGCGTTCCGGATGAACTCGCTGAATTCTCTTCCACAACTGATGCATAACGCCCGGGAATTACATTCCCAGTTTTATTCCATTTATGATTCCCAATTATGATTATATACGAGGTAGAAAATCTGTCTCGGAACTTCTTGGGCAGAGGATGTAAGTACTTTTAAGAATGAAAGCGCGTATCATTGCAATCGTATTTCAATATGGATGCTTATTCTCACTTTATAAGTTTTTAATTTCTAGTTTAATTAATCATAGTAAGTAAACAACTTCTGAATATATATTTTATACACAATAAATGTATAAATTAAAGAAAATAAACAATAAAAGAGATACAATTCATAACTTTCGTCTTGCTACTGATTAAATCGTTTGTTTAACAAAGCAGTTTTAGTTTTAAAATAAATTAAGTAATCCAATATTTTTAAAAAGTAATAAATAAAATAAAGTAATAAAATAATAAATCTAATAAAAAAATAAAATAAGTTGTAATAATAAATATAATACACTCTAATATAAAAAACGACACACCAAGAAGGATTTATCCGAATGGAACGAAATTGAGTGTGCCCATACCTTACGACAGAATATGAAAATGATTAACTTTTGTGGCCAGTGACTGATTAGCTGGAGTTCTGGCGCATTGCAGCGGAATATCCGGATGGTGTATAAAACAGAGGGCATTCCATTGTTAAGACATTAACTTGCCATGCAGATGTAGTTCCAACGACCCAAGTGGACTGTAACAGTGCCTTGCATAGGGTTCACGACCAGTATGAGCATATGTCACCATTTGAGAAAGGACGCGCAGTTGGACTAAAGGAAGCAACGTGATCAAAATCGTAGGATCGCTAGAAATTTGGATCGGAGCGATGCTACCATTTGACGATGTTGGAAGGAATGGATGAACCGTGGCTGTACAGAACGTCAAGAAAGCAGCGGTCGACCAAGAGCGACGACAGAACGCGAGGACAGACTGATTGTCCGATCGGCGTTCACATTTCCTGATACCTCCTTCTCAACGATTTCATGTATAACCGGGACACCAGTGACTACAATGACCACTTTATAGGCGACTCTGCAAACGAGGCTAGAGGTCACAGAGGCCAATGCGCCGACTACAGTTGTACACAACCAAGCGCGTTTGCAGGGGTGCCGGGCGTATTCAAACTGGGGTCTCACGGACTGGAGTAGAATTGCTTTCAGCAATGAGTTTTGCTTCGAATTTAGTCTCAGTGATCAGCGAAGACGTCTGGAGACGTCCAGGACAGAAATGAGTTACTCATCTGACTGTCGTTCACTACACAGTCTGACAGCCAGGAGTTATAGCATGGGGTGCCATTTCGTTTGATAACCGGACCTCTTATTTGTTATCCGTAACATCCTTGCAGCAATGCGGTACGTCAACGAGATTCTGCGTCCCGTAGTGTTGTCCTTCCTTTCACTGACGCTTGGGCTTACCTTTCATCAGGATAATGCCCGGGCTCGCACGCACGCTTTTCTACTATTTGTCTTCATGCTTCTCTAACACTTCCCTAGTCTGCGCGATTGCCAGATCTCTCCCCAATAGAGCACGTTTGGGGTTTGAGTAGTAGGCGTCTCCGAACTCTCCTATATCGCACCTAATCTAATTTGTCAGCTGGAGCAATGTAATGTAAGCAATATTGCAGGAGGTCAACGTTATCCATCAACGAGCCAATGGCCAGCCAGTAACAGAATATATCAGGGTTCTGACCCTGATAGTGGACCAACGCCTTATTGATTTTTTTATTTTGCTTTTGTAGCTGTATATTCTGACAAAATCATTCAATTCCAATGATACTCCCAGCAATTTCATTTTCAATACATGTACATTACGTCTACTGATTTTCGTTCCATTCGGACAACTCCTTGCGTCGCTTATTGTGTTACAGAGGGTAATACAAAATATTTCCTTATATTCTACATATATGTGTATATATAATTTTTTCCCCAGAATATCCTAATTTTAAAGCATATATGTATGTATATAATTTTTTCCCAAAACATCATAATTTTAAAATGTCCGGGTCAACAATATTGAAAAGGTGGCCGACGTTGTTCCCATAGTTACAAGTCAGACAAGGCCGACTTAAAATAACTTCCTATTTTAAAGATGGTTCAGTTTTAAAGCAACAGATTATAGTAACTTATTTTGATTAATTTTTCACATGTATTAATTTTATTGCAGTTGAAATAGTAATTCTGTGCTACTATTAGCATAATTAATAAATGGTTTTAAGAAACTCACATCACATCTCCGACCTCTAGTTTCATGTCACAGCTAGGGTTTATCATCACATAGGAAAGTCCGTTTCTCTTTTCTGACACGTCATCTAGAGCAGGGGGAAAAAGCCAGAAGCAAGTTAGCAGCTGCAACAAGTGATAATGTTACCGGCAATATCTGAAAGATGGCATTCTGTAGAATACTTAGGCCATTTAAAGAAGGTGAAAACTGGCCGGTAATGCATGAAACTATTAACTTTTCATACATAACCTAAGCATTCTATAGAATGCTAAAATGCATATCGGCAAAGTTTCAAATACATATCCGATTCATTTCGAATATCTGTACATTTACTACATTCATACATAATCCATACAATTAATACATTCATTCCATAATTTCATGCGTTCAAACATTTTCTACATTGTTTTCTTTAATCAGAAAGGCGTAATTTTTATTTCATACAGTTTTAATTTTTCTTTTATCTATTTTGAATGAAAGTTTTTTTTTAAATGGCACTCTTTCATCCATTTTTCAAAATAACATTCGTATTTTTGAGAGTTGAACATCTTGATGAACCTTATCATGATATTTTTGAGAGATGAGCCTTATTATGACCATTTTTCATATTTTGCCTAAATAGACTTACACGACAGATACACGGCCGACTAGTGATACGTAAGTACCAAACAAAGTGTATAGATGGAGTACATTAAATCAATTAGACTTAGAGCTATCGAAGCCGGGACGGAAATCTCCCTGGGCCTCCTTTATTGCAATGATCACCATACAAGATGTGAACACAAATATATAATTGACATTTATTTAATTAAAATAAATGATTAAAATGATACGAAAAACAAAACAAACAAACAAAAAACAACAACTTCACATTTAGCAGAGAAACATATAGTATTTATAAAAGCTCATTAACCTGCCAGTTTTGGTGTATTTTTTAAAAATGTTTTTAACGTTTCTGCCAATAAAAAAAAGCTAATTCTCCCCCTTTTTTAAGCTTTCGATTTTTTTCATAGCTTCATAGCAAAATTAATGTTTTTAGCTACTGCGTTTTCGATGAAAAGGATTGCCAAATCATTAAATCTTACTTGGCTCACCGTTGATCAAAGATCAACTTTTCCAATCACTGTCGATCGAGGATCAGCTTTTCAAAACTGAATCAACTTAAATTTGGAAAAGCTTCTCTCGCACTGAACACGACAAACACCTTGAAAGGCAACTGAAACACACACTTTCTTTCTTTTTTTTTTTCCCATCGACGGAACAGCTGGCCCACCGGGTTAGGTGCTTATCAGCCTGTTGTATCTCGTGGATGGAATTAAAAATAAATAAATATGAATAAAGATCTTAGTACTGTGTCCTCCGTGAATTGATTACATTTAAAGCTTAGCGCTCTGTTCACCGGGAACTAGCCACGCTAAACGAGGAACATTAAAAGAAGGACCAGAACATGGAAAGAAGGTGCGTTGGAAGTGAAACACACACTGTCAAAAGAATCTTTAGTGTCAAATATAAGTTAGGGACTGATTGTTAGAAGTCCATTTCCACAATTAACTTCAACATTTTCCAATGCAAGCCACTTATAGCCTCGTTCGTTTTTTATAATTGTAGGTACACACATTGTAAGGATCTTAAGTTTTACTAACGTTTATTTTATTTTAAATCTTTACTATCACTTCTTATTTTCTACTTCCGGCCAGAATTATAAGCGTGAAGGTTTTTATGCAAAGTTTGTCTGGCGAACGCCAAGTATTTAAGTGTGGCCTTTTTTTGCCAAGCAAAAGAGAGGAAGCAGTGAGTTCGAAGCAGGCCGCTTACCTTAGAAGTTACGCAGTTGCTATTTGCCTTCCAGGCCAGAGGTTTTAATCCTCTTGATAAATTAAACGTATTGTAGTGTTCACGTCTCTGTGCTACATACGCTTCCTGTTATTATAAGGCCAATCTACACGTTTATTTTCTAAGTTAAATTAGAGTTTAGTTTTATTTTGATATCTTTTACGTTAGACCCCGAGTGGAGGTCATTGTATTCCGAAGTACGGAAGTCATGTATATAAGAAAAAATAAAGGGTTTTGTATACCCTTCGTCTGTATCCTGTCTACTTACTACAATTAGTGAACATAGCTTTAGTAAGCTCTCTGTTCTTAGTCAGGTCCTTGTATGTTTCCGAAGAAGGTTAGAAGAAACATTGAACCTGATAACATATATTTAAAACTTAAGGTTCTTCGAAAGCCCCATCCTGATCAGAGCCCGTAACAGTCCGCGCTTGATTTAAATTAATGTATGAAAATGCAGAATGAAAAACTTACACGAAAAGAAAGAAACTGAAATGAGTTTGGTTTTTGTAAAGGCATTTCTGAGCACATTTTAATTATCGGAAACCAGCTGGCATCACCGTTTGATGATGAAAGCCCCTGTCATTTTTTCTTTTAACTGAGGGTAAACTGAACTATGGGTTTTAATTTTGTACCGTCCTGCTAAAAAAGAAGGTACATGGAAGTGACTACAGTGACGTGAGATTTTTCATGACTTGTTACCTTTCATGTGAAACGTTTTTGTTTCTTTCGCATGAATTGTTTTATTTTCTATCATATCAAACATTACTAGAGTGTCATACATATTTGTAATGCGTGACAGTAAGTAATTATTTTGCCCTCGTAGGCCAATAATATACTTCTGAAAACTTATTAATTTGCTGTCCAAACCCTTTGGAAATCTTCACGGAACTTCTGTTTTTTTTCCTCTTAGAATTAAATTATTCCATGCCATGGATCGACTACACCAACACAAAGTTGCTTTAAAGTTTTCACCTTTATTTGCATTCTTTTTGTCCACTTAACCCTTTGACATACATTTCCCACTAAAAGTTTAAAAATTACTGCTGGGTTAAAAAGTACTTAGAATTTTCTGAATGTTGGGGATCACCTTCCAATAGTTGGAAAATCAAGACGCCGCTATGCTCGTTGTACACAAATGAACATAGAGAAAAAAAAAGAAAAAACAAATATGAGTCATTGGGTCATGCAAATAATGTTTTGCCCTGTACCATACGATGTAAAAATTTATTTCATATAATAAATTTGAATAATAGGTGTGCTTACATTAAGTCGATAGGACATATGTGTCCCAGCCTTTGGCTTGAAAACTGTTTGTCAAATGCTAAATTTACATTATTTTGGTTATGATTTTTTTTACTTGTAGAAAACAGGGTAATTTTTTTTTTTTAAATTCGTAGTCAAAAGGTTAAGGTAAATAAGCATATACTGTTCCTTGCTATAATTATTCCATTCTGGAGATTTTCTAGGACCCAATTTGCAACACTTTCTTCTAGGATTGGCCAATTCATTAATTCTTTTACGGGAAACACATTTATTCTTTGGCATTGGGATTTCATTTTTTTCCCTTCGCGTCTGAAACTTTCACCAACACCAAACATCCTTGTTACAGCACGATTTCCAATTTCTTTTGCAACTGAATAACTTTGCATATGAAACAGCACTGTGTTTGTTTCGTTTGGCAGGGGCCGTATTTACTACTAAAACGAACACTAGATAAACTGCATTTCAATTAAAGAAAATGCGATTTACTTCATTACTACATTTCCTTCAATGTTCACTTCAAAATCACGCCTTCATATGACTGAAGGGGGAAATCTAATTCCGCGAATTCGAATTTCCCAATTCTGTAAATTCATTCGGGTCGGAAGTGCATTGTAATTAGAATAACATTCTTGCGTACATCTGCATTGAATACAACGCATAGAATTATTTGCAGAATTATTTACTCCTTCAATCATTTCCCCCCACATACATATTGTTCTTTTCGCTTGTCAATTCAGTAAACCCTTCTTCGAAAGCATGGGAAAAATCTTTGAATGAATAACTTCAAAAGATTAGAACATTACACATGCATGTTTCAGGTTAATTCGTAAAGAAAAGGGTATGCATTATACGGCGAATATACCTAAAATTTTTTTAAAATGTAATTTGAAATTATAGGTGCGCGTTATATCCCAGAATAGATGGTATTTATTTTTGAACACGTTATACATCTCTTTTTACACATTTTAGTGAACAACTTTGTACCTGCAAGTTCCCCATAATCTAAATTTGTGCACGATATATCCGCTCAACCAATCGAAATGAAATTTCAGATTGTTATTTGAAAATATGCACTCGAGATTGTGATGATTTAAAAGAATAGAGCTTTAACGGTTACGATTACAGTGACAAATTTTCAAAATTTTCGAATAGTGACACCTACTTTTTTCTCTGTGCAAACTGATCAGCTCACTGAAAAAACATAAATGGCGTTGGAAAGATATACGTATGACGAAAATTGACGGTGTAAAACATTTGCAATGAAGACTATTGCAGAGGACCAATGACAACACAGAGAGTAAGTGCATTGAATCACTTCGCATAATTTACAGGGATAGACATTAGACTCCAAGAGCTGTGTTCGCTGCTTAATCCTCACGACGTGGCATCAGCGCTTTTACAAAAGCTAAAGTGACTATGTGGTGCAGCATGGCAAGCGCATTCGTTCTCGGTCGTACTTTTTTGAAGAGGTCACTACTACAGATATGAAAACGTACGGCATCAAGAACTCGGTAGAGAGCAATGTTGAAAAATTACGTAATTCTAGAATTGCAGTAGCGAAGCGTTGTTAATGACATTGTATTGGATGCTCCTCTGAAAGGCCTTGCTTATAGGATGCTCCTCTACACATGTGTTCGGCAAGTGTTGCCATAAAATTTTAGAGATAGAGTTGCCTCCCGTAACACTGCGGTTTCGTGGACACCCGGATCTCCCGTCCTCACTCCGATGGATTTCTGGTTCTGGGGTCATCTGAAATCTTAATGTAAACATTAAAGTCCATGAATGAAAGATGCCATAAAACGTCAAGTTAACCAGATTTCTTCTGCAATATCATACGTTCGTGATCGTTGTCAACAATGTCCCGCAAGCAATGCCTTATCATCTGCGAAGGTGTGCACGTTGAAAACTTGTTAATTCCAATAAAAGTTTTTTCTCTGTCTTGTGTCGTCATTGGTCCTTTACAATTTTTTTCTTTGCAAATGTTTTACTCCG